TCCCAGTTGCTTCGAGGCCATAGCAGCTGCGGATAAGAAGGTGAGCGAGCAGGTAGCCGCTGCCGAAGCGGCCAAAGAAGCGAAAGAGAAGGCCGAGGTCTGCCTGCCAAGCGCTTGTGGGCTCCGAGCTGGGACAGCAGTGTACCTACGATGCTCGATGCATCGACTTGCTGCTCCTTTGAGCTTGTGAGCGCGGAACCCCAGATCCTGATCCTGAGTAGAAATTCGGAGCCAGGTTGCCAAGGCTGACGCCTTGGAGGACTTCGATGACTTTTCTTGTCGCAGGCTTCAGGTACTTCGAGCCGGGTCAGATGCTCCTCTAAAGTATCCCTGCTGAGATGTTGTGAAGCTGACTGCATGTAGCCGAACGAAAAGTTGGACAGGCCAGAACTATCTTTGCAAAGGTGTAAGAGCAGGCGCACATAAAGAGCAGGTGTAACTGGTTGCAGCTGATGCTTTGCGAATTCTTACTACTTAGCTGCAAAACTACTGCTTCTCTTAATGCTCCCACTGCCTTTTGTTGCTTGTGCTCCTCCTTTTCCTCCGCCTCCGCCTCCGCCTACCACTGTTACTACGTATTACTTTTACTACTATACTACTACAAATACTACTACTGCTACTACTACTACTACTACTACTACTACTACTACTACGACGGCTACTGCTACTACTACTACTACTACTACTACTACTACTACTACTACTACTGCTACTACTACTACTACTACTACTACTACTACTACTACGGCTATGGCTACGGCTACGGCTACGGCTGCGACTACGACTACGACTACGACTACGACTCCGACGGCGACGGCGACGGCGACGGCGACGACGGCTACGACTACGGCCACGGCCACTGCTACTGTTACTGCTACTGTTACTGCTACTGCTGCTGCTACTACTACTACTACTACCACTACTACTACGCCTGCTGCTCCCGCTACTCGCTACTGCTACTACTGCTACTACTGCTACTTCTGCTACTTCTGCTACTTCTGCTACTTCTGCTACTGCTGCTACTGCTGCTACTACCGCTACTACTGCTACTACTACTACTACTACTACTACTACTACTACTACTACTCCTGCTACTACTACTACTACTACTACTCCTCCTCCTCCTGCTGCTGCTGCTGCTGCTGCTACTGATTCCTGATACTTCTTACACCGCCCACTACGACGACTGTGGTGCTCATTCGTACATACCACACCTGGCTGCCTTCCCAAGATGATGGCTGTCCTGTTGTGTTCTGTGTCCATTGCTCGTTGTCCCTTCCTTTCACGGAAGGAAGCCTTGGCCGCGCGGCGAGTAGCCGAAGAGGCGAGGAGAGCCGGAGGTGTGGTCGTCCTGTGGCGGTGTCAAGTGCATTTCGTCCAGGCAAAACAAGCAGAGCATGAGGCTCTCTCCGAAATGAGGCTTGCAAAGACGTTTCCACTTGCGCATTGGCATGCTCAAAATTCATGGTGCGTGAAGAGGGACTGCCTCGGCTCTGGCAGGGAATTGACTGAGAAGCAGGCGCTTGACCTTCAGTCCAAGGTGGATCCCTCCAGATTCCAGATCACCCAGGGTGCTTCAAAGTTTCAAACTCCTTCCGTCTTGCGAAGGCCGACGCTGCCAAGAAAGCTGTTCAGGAGGCGCAGGCACATGAGCAGCAAAGGGCAGAAGATAAAGTAGTACCTGTTGCAAAAGTATTCTTGGAGCGAGACGAGCAGAATGCACCATCGTGAATATCCAGATATTTCCAGCTCGGCATTGTTGGCGGCGGAGGGTTCTCGGCATTAGTATATGTTGGCGAACAAGTGACGACGGATGAGGATGATTCGCACTCATCCCTTGAGGAAGCGCAGGCCAAGCTCATGGAACAGGCTGAGAAGGCCCGCAAAGCTGCGGAGGACGGCCCATTGGAGTTCTGACAGAGGCACACATTGTTAGAAGACACTCTCAACAAAGCCGTCATCGAATGAGCAAGAGGCATGGGGAGCGGCACGAGCATGAGAAGCTTACTGTCTGCATCAGGAGCGAGCCCAGGTTGCCTCAGATCTAAAGAGCCTTGGACGCAGACTTCACATTCCAGTTTTCATTCGTCCGTTCGCGGCCGTCGCATTCTGCGCGCTGCTTGGAGAGTGGTAAGTGCTCGTCGGCTTTCGTGGACGTGTTTCGGTGTTTGTGTCAGCTTCTTCTAGTCGTTGCAAGGACGTCCAGTGGGACCTCCCGATGAGAGTTGAGGCTCACCTGGCAGAAGTTGTCATGCAGCTGTTGAAGTGGGGAGCTTTGTTTGACACAAGGAATGTTGCTTTCTGTGCTAGAATGCCAGACTGTTGTGAAAGCTGGCTTGGATTCATGTGAGTATCGCTGTTCCGGCATGTAGAGAGAAGCTGGATGTCGAAGGCTCATGTCAAAATGTCTCTGCTGCAGGCCACTCCTTTCGACGTCGTTGCGTAGTGACATAGTGCCTTATCAAAGTGTCGGATGACTATCTGAATTGGCCACAAACTCACCCAGCAAAGCATATGGCACTGCATTACCCCATTCAGCTTAAGTCAAGTCCATGACTTTTCTTCGGGCGACTTTCATAAGAACCGGCGTCCGGTCTCGGGTTTCAGCGATCATTGAAAAGCAGGGTTCACAGAAAACATTGTGCATCACACAGCGGCGGAGCGGAAGAGCCGCTCGCAAGATAAAGCGCTACATCCCCAACACGGACCCCGAACCGAAATGCGACTGCCAGATCATGTCCACAATTCAGGGCGTCTTCGGCACATTGTGCACGATCCGTTCTAATTCTAGATTCAGTTTAATTACCGGCATGTCCTCTGGAGAAAGCCGTTCTGGTGAGAGCGTCGGGCTTGTCGCAACATTCAGAGTTCCAAGAGGATGTCATTGGAATCAGCTTGAGCATATTGAGCCACACTGAGACTACGGAGCCTTGCGGCATCTCACGAGGACACGGCCACGCGCAAAATCTTAAAAAACCTCAGAGGGACATCCTGCGGCGTGACAGCTCTCGAGTCCGATGGTTCAGCTGCAAGGCTTGCAGGGTGCAGGTGGTTTTCCATGGACAGACGCCATCCCCTGCAAAGACAAGATTGGGCCGTATAGACTTACGCAATGATATAAAGAGTAGCGTTGATAGACCAAGACCGGCCCCTGAAACTTCTTGAAGTTTGCTAGGTTCTACATTTTTGGACTGTGTTTCTCGTTTCTCTGCTGCTGTTGTTGTGGTGGTGGTGGCGGTTGCTGCTGCTGCAGTTGCTGCTGCTTGTGCTGCTGTTGTCGTAGTGGTGGGGGTGGTGGTGTTGGTGGTGGTCGTCTTCTGTTTTGTGCTGGTGGTGTTGCGTTTGTGTCTCTGTGGCTATGATTGAACATAAATACAGTCGGCCGTACTTCCAGGGAATGGCACCGAACTTTTCCATGTGACGGACATGCGGAGACAACGCTCAGCTAAGCTTTACGTTCAGACAAAGACAGTCGGACATTTTAGTGCTGGAGAGTGTGTCCGAGGGCCTAGCCGGCTCCTTAGTCAAGAGTCGTAGTTCGCGGAGTAAAGCTGGTGTAACAGATTGTAGCAGTATGTGGGCATATGTGGGCTGAGCAGGTGAGCTACCAGCTTGCCAAACCGGGTCATCCAAGGTCCAAGGTATTGTGTTCTTACACCAACCGTTGTTTCAATGGCTTATGTCACCATTGCAAGTCCTGCCACGCAGTGGCTTGCCTTTACGAGCGGAAGTAGGCTGGGCCGCACAGTCCGATAATAGTGCCTCTTCGGTCGCTTTTCTTCTAGTCTCGACGGACTCGTTCCTGCTGCGCTTAAAGTGCAGCTGAGTCTGAACCTGCCATGCCTCAGGATATGAGATGGTCAGTATAGTGGGGCTGCAATACTCGCATAAGGGGAGGCGATTTCCAGACTTGCTTTGGGCTCGTTCCTCCGGAGTGGCCAGGCTTACATTATCTCTTGAGTTCTCCGCCTCGAAGCGTGAAAACAAGGGGTTGCAGTGTTGAGCTGCCACCTGAAGCTCGGAGTGTCAACGGACTTGATAATTTTCATTCAGGCTGTCAGAATCATGATGCCGTAGTTGAAGCCGCAAGAATAGTTGTCAATTTTGCTCGCTGTCCTTGTCACATGCTCCGGATTGGGGTTCTTGTGGAGGTGCTTTGGAATCAGCTCACCATGGCCGCGTGTTTGGAAACAATCGATTCCTCGTCACATCGTTGGTTGGTTTGGCGCACAGTTGGTTTCTAGCTTCGATGGTTGGTCGAGTCACTGAGTCTCAGCCAGGCAGAACTTGCCTCATGATTATCGAAGCCCATCACAGCAGTACCTTACACGGAGCTCGCTTGACACCTTTCCAAAAGCAGTACGGCTGAGACCTCCCTCATCTGTCGGGTGTGCATATTGTATCAGAATGCCAATCCTGGTGGATTCGCAAAGCTCACTGAACTGACATGCAATGGCAAGACGGGGGCGATAAAGATACTTGTGCTCCTGTCCGTTCTTGCTTTTCTGGCTCTGGGTGACGCAGCTGGCGCATGGTGAGCCATGGCGCGAGCAGGCCCTGCTCTCAGATGAATCTAGGAGTATGTGCCGTGCATGTGTAGGTGCTGCCCGAAGCATATCATTCGTGATAACGGACTACTTTGCATTGCTTCGCAGTGTTTGCATGAGGCATTGTGCTCCTGCTGGCTGTGGCATCTGTTGCGCATAAGGCCAGTGCAAGTCGCGACAGTAGTGTGGGCTTATACTGGGAGCGCGTAGTGAAAAAGTCCCAAGACTCTGTCCGAGGTCTTGCAGCCGCGACTTTTGTGAACACACAGACGCTGACACTTTTATTATTGCTTGGTGGCTCGGTCAGGTTCAGAGAAATGTAGCGCTGCCTGGAGCCGAGACTTCCAGGGAAGAGCGAGCGTGTCGTGCTTGGAGGGGGGTGATGTAGGATGAGCAGAGATGCCGTAACTTACTGACTACTCTGCTGTGCTCATCACAAGTGTCTTCAACTTCATGTGCTGGGCTCCGGAAGACTGGCAGTTGGTCCGGAGGCGAAGTCGGCTGAATGGTGTTGTTACGACACCCCAGCAGCAGCTGCGGACGTGCCTGGCCATGTTGGGTACCACAAAGCAGTTGAAAGTACAACCTAATCTCTCGCTTCTTCTGCTGTCCTGCCGACTGTTCGGTGGTCATGACGGCCCCTACGAACTGGTCTTGCGCCGCCAGGTGCAATGCATATCCATATGAAGCCGCAATTGCGCCTCTCCTGCAGTGGGAATGTTCGGCCAGAGATGACACACGGCAATGCTGTGTCATCGCAAGCTCTTGCCACCGCCGAGGACATCTTTAGAGGGAAAGAGAAGCTGACAACAGACAAGCCTCTGCCTTAGTCACGGCTCGCCGCGCGCACTTCCGCGCCCAGCACCCATGAAGTGACCCCGTTGCAGAATCGTCCCTGCAGGCAGCTTCCATACAGACAGTGCCGCGACTTTGACGTGTCCCTGAAGGCCCCTAAAGCCCACGCTTTTGCTTTACCTCCGCTTTCGAGGCAAAGAGCTAGTGCTCGGTGCGGGCTTCCGTGCTTCCTGTTCGCAGGAGAATGACAAGTTGGACTTCAAGATCGGCAACGTCACCACCGGCACATTCTCTGTGCACCCACCCTATCATGTCCTGCTCAGAAATTTAGCGCAAGCTTGTGTTGGATCGCCGGCACTTGCTGCTGACCTCACAAGGTCGGAGCTGCCGCAGTCGAACGCTCTTCTTCTGCTGGTGATCTATCGCATTGGGCCCAGTCATTCTGGCAGCAGGATGTCTTTGGCTTGCAGAGTGAGTCTTGTGCCGCCCACTGTTTCTCATCTTTCCAGGTCACGACGTTGAAAGCACCGCAGTATCGTTCGAGTCTCACATGTTCATGGCAGACGAGCCGAACCCGCAGGTGCTTCCGTTCTCATGCTCGTAGATTGGTCTTAGAAATCAATGCCGAACCACTGTACATGTTTCCGCACGGATGCAGCAGGTTGCTGTGATCGACACATTTCTGGGCACGACAGAATACAGGCCGGGCTGCTGTCAGAGATCAGAAGGTTTCCTTCTGCCACTAGCTTCCGCTGATCACTGCATTATTCAAGCTATTTGCGGGCCTTTGCTTGCACTGTTGCAGCGACGAGGAAGCCCGAGTGCTGCTTGGCATCAAGCTTGTTTATTATTTTTGCAGCTTCTTAGTCAGGCCGATCATCTATGCTGGCAACCTCTCGGAGACACTTCGATTCGGCAGAGCCCAGGAGCCCAGTCACACATGCCTCTCAAGCTTTGCAGGCAGAAGGATGCACCTTTTGGGAGCTAGGCCGCAAACAAGAGAATGAGTGAACGAGATCATTGAAAGTCTCCGTTCTCAAGCCACATCCACGCTGAACGTTCTCTCACGAATTTTTCGTTCTGTCTCTGAGCTGGTTCTTGAATACAGCCATTGCAGCCCGCCAATCATGTATCAGTATCTGTCCGTGGCTTGTCATGTAAATCCTCATCTTTTTGCAGGTCATCTCTTTGTCCCCGGGAGACTACGCCATTCACCTCCAGAACGATGCCAACGTGACTCAGGAGCCTCTCTCGGCGGGAAGTTTCGGAAGACATCACCTTCAACAGTGTCACTCGGTTCTGTCTTGGACTTGCAGGATGTGGTGCCCGTCGATGGCTAAGTTGCGCGGGATGCAGGAGGGGTCTCGACATGAGCTTCACTGAGGTCCGAGCACGAACAGGTGACAAGTATGTTGTGCGTCTCCCAGGTGAACACTGACCAAGCTTCAGGTGTGCTGTTCTCAGTGGTGTGGAGATTGACTCTGTGTGCCAATACGCTCCCAGGTGCTTCGCTCCGGCATCCAGGCCCAGCGCGGGCCCAGTTTCCAGCAGGACGGAATGCATGCTTCGATGCCTTTGCCTCAGAAGAGCAAGCAACGAGCTGCAGTTAATAGACGAAGTTGCTAGGAAGAAGCTCGGCCTTAAAAACTTGAACGCAATAGAACACGTCCATTGATCTAAGACGACCAGAGCACCGTATTCCGAGCTCTGTAGACGGTGTCCGTTCGAGCATGCAGATTCCAGGATGCTTTAGGTGCTACCTGTCGCAGCCGGAGAGTCTCAACCAATTGAGTTGGTGAAAAGGCGATTTTTTTCTTGCGGTCGATTCCACTTTCGCTTGGAAGCCATGAAAATGAGTGCTCTACGTGCGGCGGTGCAGAAGGCGCTTTGGCATGAAGTCTTCCTGAGAGAGTGCTTCGAGAGCTGACTGCTGCCAGGGTCTCGCAGCCGTGCGTGTGAACACCAAGCTTCAGAGCAGACATCGACCCTTCAGCAGCATCGTACCAGAAGTTGCTGAGGCAAAAGGCGCGGTGGGGACTGCGGGTTCTCTTGCATCTGTGTTCGCGAAGCTGTTGGTGGCCGTCGGCAGTATGTAGGCTTTTCGGCACTGTTCCGGCTTCGTGAGATCAGCAGTACGCACAGAGGGCACACCTAAGTGTGTGCAAGTCTGGGACGAGTGGCCTACGAAACCGTATTTACTTTTTTCGTGCCGCGTAACCCCGAAACTCGATTTGGATGATGGCGAGATGCAAGAGCGTCCTTCGTTCCACCGGCAGACACAAGAAGCTCCGTCTAGTGCTTATGCGCACAGAAGCAGTGTAAATTGCACAGGAACTGCTCGCACTTGGATACGATCCCTGCTCGAAAAGACATCCGGTCCTTAAATGCTCGATTACACGTCCAACATGTTGATACATGTTGGGTGTTCTCAGTCCGCCCGGAAGAGTTATTCAGTTACCCGGAACACCTCCGGCATGGCTTGGGATTGGTGCTAGAACCGCAGCACTTCCGATGTATCATGCCCAGGAGGCAGCGGGAGTACCGAGAAGCCGGGAGCGTAGCGCCGTTTGTCGCTGGCAAGAATGCCATCGGATGGCAAATTCGACACGAATCCGTTGGGTCGACGTTTGTTGTTTAATCTTGTTTCCAGCTTGGGCCAGCAAGCCATCAAGACTTTTCAAGATGAAGTTGCCTGGACATCGAACCAATGCATTCCTTTCGAAATGACCTTTCCCAAGGCTCGCACCTGGCAGTCATGCAACCAGACGTGGCAACAAAGCCCGGCAATTGTTTCGTAGATTATGCAGGAAGGGATGCTTCAAATCTCGACATGACTCTCGTCAAGACCTCGACAGATGATGCGGTCGGCGCCTCAGGACTGAGTCAGCAATTTGCGCCTGTGCTTGTAGCGGTGTTGGGGTGGCAGCGAGGTGTCTTCACCACGGCTCTCCGATCTGAAGCGGGAGGTGTGGAAAGAGGACGCTGATGTCAGCGGACATGACCTCCTGCTTCCAGGCCATGAGCAATGGTAAAGTGCGTGGTTAATCTGCACCGAGGCATTACGCACCTCGCACATGTTTCAGGTGGTTTTGAAGAAGTACTTGACACAGCGGAGGAGTGATTCACATTCTCAGAAGCTTCTGCGAAGCACAAGACTCGGCCAGGAGCCATCAGATTTCCAAGCTCTGCACATAAAGCGGGTAAACTGCTTGGATGAAGACGAGTTTGAAGCACTGCGCCTTCGAGCGCTGCATATCGCTGCGCGGGATGCGATAGCGGGCGTCTGAGAGGCAGAAAATCAAGGCATCATGCTCCTCGGCCCTTTGAGCTTTCTCTCGGTTTGCCATGATTTTCGTTTCTGATTTTGTAGATTTCATGACATGTTCTGGGGTGAGACACTTTTTCGGTAGGTCCGGTGCTTCGAGCTTTCCCACGCTTTCCCATGTGTGTGTGTGTGTGTGCTCAGATTCTCCGATCAGCTTCTCCTATGAGATTGGCATGTTCCCAACGCCATCAAGCCGGCCCCTGTAGGCCGGCGGACTGGCGCAAGATCCTGGCAGGGTTATTGAGCTCAGATGTCATTTCGCAAGAAAGAGATGCCGGCAGGTGGCAGGCTGACCACGGTGAGCCAAGCCCCACTTTGGGTTTTTGCTCGGATTTGTGTCGCTGGTGTGCTCTTGGAGCTTCTGTTCTCCAGAGAGCGCATTTGGGTCTTGGTCACCGTATTGCTCCCTTTGAATGTTGGGAAGTATGTCTTTGGGCTTCTCCTTGGGGATGCCTGCAGATGTAAAATGCACCTGATTCATAGGATGACCTTGGCTGTGTTTGCACTGGTCCAGACGAGCTGCTAGTTAACTAGTTGAATTGATTGCAGTGTGCAATTCCACAAATCCGACCGGCTCGGCAACGAGTTTAGTGTTCGAATAACTTCTTCTCTTCGAAAGCTGCAAAAAGCTGTAGATGCGGCAAGTGTCCGCCGACTGTCCATTCATCAAACCCAACGCGTATTGGTGCAGGACAGTTTTTGGGATCTGGGGTCCGACTGAATCCTGGTTTTGCCTCCCTACCAGAAAGACGCGCAATGGGCGTCTTCAACGCTGGTGATAGCAACTGCCTGTACAGTGACCTCAATGCCTTTGTTTGCATTGGCACAGGGTAAACCCTTTACCAGAGCATGAAGCATTCTATGCTCAGTCGTTGTTTGTGTCTGCATCCGGAGCCCACATCGGCAAAAGAGGATGTTCACCTTAGTTGCTTTTTTCGTTGCCAGCTGCTGTTGGATTGCTGCGATTTCTTGCGAGATGATGCCTCTGCTCGCCTTCAAGCGTGGAAGTTTCCGTTCATTGTCATTGCGGGGTGTAGAACCCTTGAGTCCTTGTTTTGTTCTTTTCAAGGATTCTTGCATTTAAGTGCCGTGCAACATTTGCCTGCAGCGACTTGGGTCGGCAGGAGGTGCCCGCAGTCTGAGGGCCCGGGGCTGGTCGGGCCTGATCTGATCCGAGGCTTCCTGGTCGGCAGTGCCTTTGTCTTGGGATGCCTTGAATCCATAGAGAGCAATCTGCGGAGGTTTAGGATTCAGATTTGGGTTCAGCATCACCCTGGCCCGCATGTGGGACGGTTGAGGAGAGTGACCGTGTGACTGTCCGCCAATCAGCGCTTGGGCTCGCCTGCGCCGCCACGGGCCGGTGCCGCCCGGGTCCGCCATGCAGGCTGTGGCACAGATGGACATGAGGAAGGCCGGGACAGGGATGCACTTGGCCGATCTCCTAGCCGAGCCCGTTGCAGACCTGGGTTTTCCTGCGGCGCTTCATCCTGAAGCCGAAGAGACCGCATCACGTGGAGAAGCTGGATGACATCATTCCCAAGGAAGGCTCGGCTTTTGGGACATCGAAACAGCCACTGAGCTCCTACTTTGCAGCAAGGTGTCGCCGAGGGCCACAGCCCCAAGACCAGTGCGACTTGGTCCTGCGCATTTTCCATCGGAGCAGAGGGAGAGGCAGAGAGCACACCTGCGTCCCTGCGTCAGCCAAGGACCCGAGCCGAGATCTGAGACTTTCTACGAGCAGAAGCAGGTCGAGGTCGAAGAGGAAGACGAAGGCCCGAGAGCAGGAGCCGCCTGCTTCTCGAGCGCCCCTGCGCGCTTCGCGCAGCTTGGGACCCCGGAGCCTCCTTGCCAGCGGTGACTGCGGCGACGAGGGGGGCGCTTTGGAATGCCTGGCGATCGTCTTGGACGAGTCCAGCCCGGACATGGAACTGCCGGGCGCCATGAAGGACGAAATGCCAAGCAAGTCTACCAGCGATCGAGCGGATGAGGAGAAGGGCTCCGCTGAACTTGCATCAGACAGGGCGAGTGTCCGTTGATGTCCCCGAACCACCCTGGCATCGTGGCGGCTAGGACGTTTCTGCTTCTGTGAGCTTCCCCTTCATGGAGGAGGAGGGGTGGCAGGGCACTCCCGCATGCATTGCATGCAGGCATAGAGCGGGTCCGGTTCCGGCTCCGCTGTTCAATTGTGCTTCGAATTCTGCGAGGACTTTACAGAATTCTGAGCGCCAAGGCCGCCACCGGCATCGGCATGGCAGGATGCTTGGAAGGTTTAAAAACATTGACCTTCTGGTCTTTGCTGTGATGGTCTGTCGATGTCGATCCAAGGATCGTGCCGAGAACTTGCATGAAGGATCATGAAGGCATGTGAAGATACTCCAAGGGCTGTTTTCTCAAGTCGCCGGTGTTTCACCAGCTTCTTGTCGGCGATGTTTTGACATCTCTTGCAGATGCAGGCTTGGTCATGCTCGGGAAAGGAGCTTCCCTTGACACATCTAGTTCTTCCTTCGTGCTAGTTGCTGCTAGTTTTTCTGAACCTGTTTTGGGTGTTGGTTGGCATGTCTCCGCTCCCGATGGTAATTCAAAGCTTGCAGGGCTCATTATGGCTCCAAGCTGATACAGGTGCATTGGCTGGAGCCATCGGCATTTCTAACCCAGGACGGGAAAAACAGCAGAGGCAGAATGGTGGATGCATGAGAACCATCAGGTTTCAAGGGGCTGTGCCTCATCATTCCTGTCTCTCGGGAAGAGTAGGTCCGTAGGACTCTTTTGTTGTGTCGGTGAGACACCGCAAAGCAGCAAGAGCTGCTGTGGCTGGAAATCTAGGACCTCAAGCTTCGCACACAGGACACGGCGGATACGGGTGCAACTCCCGAAACTGAATGAGTCGTAAAAGGTGCGGAAGAATCCTGTTGGTGTGACAGTTCGAGGTCCTCCTGTGAGATTACTTGGATTTCTTGAGCTCAGCTGCGTTTTAGGGCCTCCTTGGCATGTTCTAGAATTGTTTTTGCGCTCCCTGGTTCTGATCCGTGTAACTTCCACCACAGAGGACAGGTAATTGTGACCCCCGCAGCTCTACTCGCCGCGAGCAGGAAGCTCACGAGCCAGTCCTCACTTCGGCATGTCAATTCAGAAACTCTCAACGTTTCTCAGTGATGTCTTGACATCGCGGTTCGGTAGTGCAGGAACGCTTGTCGTGAAGCAGACGTGAATCTTTTTTGTTGTTCGCCGCCAACTTGGCGTATATCGCTGCAAGCTTGTGCAGGGCTCCGCGTGGGGACTGCGAGCAAAGCTCGGATATGCTGCTCGCACGTCGCGCAGTGCTTGTGCAGACCTTGTGCGGCGTTTTCCGGCCTAGAGACCCTCTTGCCATTTTGATGATTAGCGTGATTAAAAGACACGAGAGCTCGATGGAACCGGACCGACCGAAGCTGTTCCGCAGGAGCTCATGATGTACCCTGAGCCAGAAGAGGCACGGGGCAGGGAATTCAAGGGTTCGGGTGCTCGTAACCACAGGATGTTCAATCCTCGGAAGGGCCTTGACAGCGCAGAGGTGCTGAAGATGTTTAGTTGTCAACTTCGATTTGGTAGGCCTTCTCGGCATGACTGCCGAATTGCTTACTGGTAGAGTGTGTTGGCATCTGGCTACCCTGGCAGGATCTTCTGCACAGCTTGAAGAGCAGCGCTAGATCCATGGGGGCGCCGGCCCCAGTGGCCCACATGTGCAAGGAGACCCTTTAGGCTGTCGATTTTGATGGGATGGTGCTGATTTCGCCATAGCGCTTTGCCGTTGCCATCTGATTGTGAGGCCAGCTCTCTGCTGATTCCTACCATCATGATCGCTTTCCGGCAGGTACTTCGTGCTTGATGTAGAAGGGTTTAGGCGGATTCGTGCTTCGATTCGAGAAGATCGTGCAGTGCAGCACTCGTTTCCGCCCAGCGCCTGGGAAGCCTCGCGCTGCTGGCAGCGCTGCTGACACAAGTGTGCGAAGCTGAGCTGTCAGCAGCGGCACACAAATGCGGGCTTCAGTTTGGATCAGGATTGATTCTGCTCTGCTTGGTTGTCATAATAACGCTGTCAGGTGTTTTTCTCGTCTGCCCTTGTCTTGCGTTGTTGCACTAGGCTCTGTTCCGTGGTTCCAGGTTATGTCAGGAGAGATACGCCTACGTTGGCACACTCAATTCCCTTACAATGTGTCAACACGTTTTGTGACACTGCGATGTCTTCTCAGTGGGATGTTGCTCTTGGCCATGTCCTCTCAAGCATAGAGGTCCTGGTCGAAAGTCAATATCCATGTTCTCAGTGCAGGCAGGCGACGCAGCTCTCACCTGGGACGCCGCGCAAAGCTTTCGAGGCGGTGTCGAGGTTGTGGTGCGACTGATTCACCTCAGACCTGGCTTTAGGGCTGCGAGGGGCAATGTCAAGCAGCAGAGGCTGCACCAAAGGGGGGCATTTGTTCATGAAGTGGGGAGTTCAGGCCCTGCCTCCAAGCTATATTGATACTCCCGGCATGGTGGAACTCTTTGAATTTGAAGCAATCATCGCTCCCCATTTCATGAACTATGGTTTCTTGATGCGATATCATTGCCTTGACGTGATTTTGCATCATTTCAAGAACCTGATTCCCTTTCGGGCATGACGGCATAGACCATTCTAGTGGGATGGGCTAAAGCAGAGTTCAGCCCTCTTTCTACCAAGTTTTTTGATCAACCCACAGACTCTTTTTTCTACAAAAGCCTTTTGAAGGTCAGCCGCCTGCTACATAGGGAGGATAGAAAGAGAGGGGTTCTTGGCATTCCAGGGATGCCGCTGCAATGGTAAAGAAGCCGTGTTACTTGGTGGAGCAAGAACCCTTCCCGATTATTTTCAGTAGGTAGCCGTGAAAGCCACTGGAACGCCGAATCCTGGGCAGTTGTTGGTTCGTGAGGCCGCGGCCCCCATCCAGATGCCTCAGCAAGCTCCCCAAAGGGGAGCCCATCTTTGTTGCACCTGTGTGGAGCTGTTCGCAACATCCTGCGAAGACAGACATGTGCACACTCGGAGTACGATATTTTACATGAAAGACGTCTGTGATGCTACCATCCGCCGGGCTTTAGCACCCAGGCTGAGGGTTTGCAACGCATTCCCCTCCAAAGAGCCGCTCTCTGTGGCCTGGAGAGACGTCATCCTAACGGGTGATGAGTCGGGCAGCTCAGTGACAAGCTCTCTGCTCTCTTACCGCTAACCCTTTCATGTCCGTTCCAATTATCCCGGTTAGCTTGATTCATCGCGAACGCACCCACAAAGGAATCAGCTGTTGCTGGCTATTTAGTTCTTTGGACGACTCGATTCCCTGCACATGAGTCATCCCAAGTTTTTCCATGTGGAAGCTATGTTGAAGGTGCGACAGTTCATGAACAGCTGAGTTCAATGGATGCACGCTTACTTGCTAGGTTGTGGACAGTCATCGCCACTGCCAAGCCGACAGAGACAGTAACGTCAATGTGATTCCGATGCGTAGTTCGAGGTTTTTGGCAAGCCGTAAGCCCGTTAAGCCAGCGTAACGAACAATCCGCCAGACGGTCCGATGCTAACTGTTTAGGAGCACTCGCATCTCTTGCTGTCGAGGCCGTTGTCGTACAAGGCATGTCGGGACATACCTTTGTCGAGCGCAATGAAGGCCACTTGAGCCGACGTTCCCGGATTGGGGTGGGGTTGGGTGTTTCCAGCCGTCAAGTTGACAATGAAGTCTCGGAAGTAATAGCAGCACATTTCTGATGACCCCGAAGTGCAGTGCACATGGCTTGGAAGGCAGGTGAGAAGCTGCACATCGGCTTGCGAAATGGTCCAAGCAACACTTTCCAACTTTCGGCCTCTCGGCTGTGGCCATGCTTTTTGTCTTGCGTCCAGTTTGTCGGACCTGTCCGAGGAACTTCCGAAATCTTCCTCGCTTTTGCTGTTGGTCTGCTTCCGTGGGAGGCCTAGAGGCCTAGGTGCTCAGCCGAAGCATCTCGTGGCGCAGGCTGGGAAGCGACATGACTCGACGTTTGCAAAGCCCGCAGGACAGGGGAAGACCGCCCTGGATCTTTCCTTCCGCTCGCATGCTTTCGAGCCGATACAGAATGAGTCGGTCTCCATTGTCGGGATCTCAGAACACCTGCAGCATCCTCTTAGAGTGCGACTGCCTCTTGGGGTGTTTTGCAGTGGGATGCTGAGGGCTGATGAGCACGGGCCTCTGCCAAAAGTTGCACCCTGTTGCGTTGAGGCAGTGCTGGACACCTACGATGCCAGACTGTCGTGTTTGAGACCGTTGCAGTTTCCAGGCCTTTGGTCTGCTGTGGGCAAGTGACTTTCGGTTTCTGCCAGGGCTCTGACAAGTCCGAAGTGCGGATTGGTCGCGACATGGAAGTGAACACAGGCTCCGATCTGCAGAATCGACACATGTTTTTAGGATTGTGCTCCAGCTCTGGCTCAGCTAAGGTGGTGGTGAGCAGATGTGGTATGACTCAGTTGTGTCTGCTGGGACCTCGCAGCTCCCACACGGCGAAGTTTCCATCTGTAGCAGATCAGTTCGATTCCACGGTATTAGCAGGCTGTGTGAAATTTAGGTGCTCAGTTTGGCTAGACACCCGCTGTCTCGAGTATTGATCATATCCTCAGGTCAGTCCAGGCAACTACCGGCTCTGGCTACGGAGCGAAGACAAGACGAAGGATTCCGAACGCTGGGTCATATCACTGTCGCAAGAACGAGTGGACGAAGCGCGTGCCGTGTGCCTACTCCCCTACTTGTTGGAGATGTTTGCACGATTCCACTTGATCCCTTGTCAGCATACATTGCAAACAAATACCTGAAGCAGATGGAAATGGAGCCCATGATTGAACCTTCGGCCTGTATGTCGTGCAGGAAGTGTTGATGTGCAGTCGTTGTGTGCGGGAGTGACCCGTCCACCAACCTTGTCCCAAAGAGCTGTATAGCACCGTTGCGTAGCAGCTTTGACAATAACTTTCAGGGGGATGGAGCATTCGTTGTGCAACCGACCTGTCGGATACGGCCTTTCCTCGATTTAATTAGGCCAGCAAACCCGTATCGAAGCCAGCGTCACAGAAGCGCCTGTAGCGATCGGCCGGCTTTTTTCGACGTCGAGCCGAGCCCAACCAAGATCGGCACCACTAGACAACCATCAGACATGAGACTGGCACCGACCTTTCGGCAGACCGCCCTGAACTTGCAGGAATGATCAGGAATGCACTTCGGGCAAATTCGATTTGTCGCAGCAAATTCGATTTGTCGCAAGCTCGTTGTTCGCACAAACCAAGACTTAAGAGATTGAAAGGGATAACTTGTCTTTGACTTATTATGGTCGACTTGTTCTCGCCTCGAATGGGTCCAGGATGATCTGCAGTTCGCTGCGAGCACGGCAACTACTTATGTAGCAGGGCGCCCAGAATGCCGCTAATGACACCGGGGCAGGCAGGCTGGTTGCTACATCGGACTCGCAGAGAAGTGTGCCAAAGATTTTCGACCAGGTCATGCGCGTCGGAGGCGAACCTCACGAGTCGTCCGATGGTGCGGAGTTCCCGCAGGCGAGTACGTGACTGACGCTTGCCAGAACTCGCCGGGGCTAGTGGCTAGAGTTCGATGGCGAGCCTTTTCAAATTTTGGTAGGAGCTCATGATCTTCCCGCGGAAAGAGACAGAGGGGGAGCCACTGCGGGATGACTTCGCTCACCACAGGCAGGCGATTGGAAGAGTATTGATGTGATACTAGTAGTAGATGTTGTGTTGAAGCAAACATATCCAAGCGAAGTGTTGAGCAGCTCACATTTGGCTCGGATCTTGTTCAGGGCGGGCCTCGGGCAAACAGAAAGCAGATTCAAGTCCATGATGATGGGCTCGACGCATGCATCGTGTGATCCGTTGCTCGGTCTTGCAGGAGTGATGCGTCCTCTGCTGGGGCGCGCAGCCCAGGATTGTAGACGTTGGAATTTAGTGACATGCTCAGATGCAGACGAGGCAAATACAGATTCTTGTTGTGTTCTGACTGCAGTTGTGACGCCTGTTTCAATGCCACGTGTGGGTTGACTGGAATGCTGTGAGCACAGCCGTCGAGGTGAGTGTCCTCTTTGCGTTGATGGTCGTGCTCCGCTGGCCTTGACCTACTCCAGGGTGGAAAACAAGCCTGAGCCGGAGCTCGACCGCTGTCACGTCATGCCTGTGGTGTCCAAGTGAGAGTCGCAGTGGACAGATCCAAAGCAGTTGCAGACTCTTGATCGTTTTCTGTGGCTGTCAAGCATCAAAGTAGTTTCTAGGTATGTTCCAGCAGAAGCAAGCAACCCAGCGATTCCCCAGCCGAGTACCAACTGTAGACCTATCGAGCTCTCATAGCCCCAGCCTGCAACAACATCCAGAAATAGACTGGCAGAGACCTTCGCGTACCTGCTCAGATCAGTCTCAGTTCAACAGGCGTCGGTACGGCTTTAGCCACTTAGCACTGCATGTGGTTGGTGCGGCGTGCTAGACGTGCAGGGCCTTCGTGGCTCTGCAGCAGCTTTGTGGGTTGGTGTTGGTAGTGCAGACTGACCTGCAGCAAAAGGTCATATCTTTTGGCCTTCGTGCTGTTACAGCTGGCCACAGCCGGTGCGGGACACGTGGCGGCAAGCAGCACACGACTTTGCCCTAAAGAGACTATTTCATGACATTGTGTTCGCATGCCTTGAACCCCGCGTTCGCAGACTGCTCAGAATATGCGAGGCTCGGAGCACTTGCGAAGTCTTCATGGCCGATGGCTGCAGCAGGCAAGCGGCAAGCTTGGGTTATCGAACGGCTTGCTCGTGCCGGAACGACTTTCTAAGTGTTGAGTGAGGTGCAGACATCTGGTTCGTTTAGCTAAAAAGCCCATTCATGTGATTCCAACACTCGGTTTGCTGTCGCGCCGCAAACTCTAAGACGACTTCTGTGTCCTTAAAAGAATTTTCATGTCACGTTTCGCGTCTGGAACCCAAGCCTCCACAGGCCCAGGGCACTCTGAAGTCTGAGCATCTCCAGGGCTCTGAATGCCTTTCAGGTTAGGAGATGTCACTTGTCCTTGTCAGCCTGTGCCTACCACGCGCTTGAGAGGACAACGCTTCGATGCCTGAGCCTTGGGGGGCTCGGGTGTTTCTGTGACCTCATGTCAGCACCTTCTTGTCTTCACCCCCCCCAGGGAGATGGGGCCTGTGGTCTGCGCGGCGAAGCCGGCGGTAAGTTTTGCCGATCAGCACCCTTGCCAAGAATTAGAACTCTCCTGGTGGTTACTCTAGCCGAACATGTCGTAAATGAGGGTCAGCCGAGGAAGCCCATGTGCCAGCCGTGCGCAGCCATCAGAATCGATGACCCCGTCAAGAGGAGCGGCAGTTCCCATTATGAGCCGGAAAGCATGATTTGCAAGTTGGCGGAAACAAGCCAGCATTCGTCCTGGCAGGTGCATGTTTAACACCACCACCTGCGAAAATGTGGGGCCTGGCCAGACCTGCGAGATTGACTGTGCTGCGCCGTTCGTACGGATGGGAAACACCAGCATTGGCGTGTGTGCAGCCGGGAATAGTGTTCCGATCCCTGGCCGGATTCGGGAGTTTTCGTGGCATCGAGCAAAGCGGTGCGTCTGCAAGCCTTCTCTGGCAAGGAACAGGATGCTGGTGTGGGAAGAACCCACCTGCACTTGCCCAGAGCCAGTACCACAGCAGGGCTATTCAAAGGACAGCTCGACTCTCTTGGTGTAGGGAGGTTTCGCTGAACGGTTCGGAACTTTCGGCTTGCCTGCCCATTGGTCGCAGATAAGAGGACCACAGAAACGAGTGTTGAAGACTCGACGAACTTCAGGACAGTGCTGGGCACTGGCACTGTGCACAGGGCTTTGCTGGGATGCCGGAGATTGTCTGCCAGCCACTTCCAGGCGGGAGAGAGTCAGATGTCGAGGGAGGAGAGAAGCGGAGGCCACGTAACGTAATCGTCCGCTGCTGGCCTGGCCAAAGGCTGCCTGGGAGTGCAGACGTTCCTGCGTGGTTGTGAGAAGCTGGTGCCCTGCGCGATGCCCTCCGTGGACAACTGCAGGCCGATTCCGAGCGAAGCGTAGCTGAAGCGGAAGCGTAGCTACTGAAAGCCGAGTGCGAGTGCCACAAACGGTGCCACGAGTTCTCTAAAGTGCCTTGTGCACCGCCCATTTCGCACAGGTTCGACGTTTCTCGCTGCACCCAAGTTCCACCCGGAGGGACCTGTGAGGTGCAGGGCTGAGGCTTTGAGAGACGGATCACTGTATCGACGTATCGGGAGCATCGCCCCTGCCTGCTGAGCATGTCGGTCGTCATACAATGTGACTAACATCCCGCTCAGATTCATTGCCAGCGGCCCTTGACTGGAAATCACACAGTGGCAGTCTGCAAGGCTTGGGGGCAGCTGCAAGTCCGAACATTTCTGTGAATCCCTAGCTTCCTACTAACGGACCAGTCTTCCCATAAGCCCCACCGCGCTCTGATGTGTTCCACGAGTCCTGACCGTGCAGCTTCCGCACCTTGCGAGGATCTCAACACAGATCCTCTCCAGGAGTTGGAGTATTTCCCTCTCACCTGTCTCCTCGAGTCCTGCCCAGACCCATCTCCTTGGCCAATGGGTCTCTGCCCCAGCGATGCAGTGAAAGGAAGCCCTTAGGAGTATGCAGTCTGGACCAATATGAGATGCCCCCCCGAGGCTACAACAAGACCCCTGAGGGCAAGTGGGCGTGTGCCAACGGCTATAACGGCACTGCCCGCAATCGATGCGAGTTGAGTGAGACTTGGATTGACCGCTAGAGGCTTCTGTTCCCTTTGGCACGATGTGCCCATGTCGGAGACTTTGAACCTGTCTTCCACCAGGACACATGGACTGCGGACTGCTCTGCTGCAGCAGCCGCCAGCTGCAAGAGTCTTCAGGTGTGGTGACAGGCACAGGCTCGTACGTCGATTTAGCGAAGACTCTGAAATTTCCCCTTTGTAAGCGAGGGCTGTGGTTAATCCTCGTAAATGCTAGTACAGCTTTAGATGGCGCAGCGAGTCACGCCTGCCTAGAAGAGCTTCTCTGAGGCTCTGACTGGCTGCCGGCCAGTGGTCCCTTGCTTGGCTCCGACCGTAACTGGAACGGAGTTCTGTGCACTTGCCTCTCGGATGAACACCTGAGACCAGGTCATGTGCCGAATAAGACACTGCCTTTTCTCGTCTGACCAAGAACTGATTGCTCAGGATTTCTCTGCCTGCACCTCCGTAGATCCTGGCGAGCAGTGCGAGGCCAGAAAGTCACTGCTCCGCACCCTCGTTCCACACCGGTGCCCACACGTGCGCTGCAGGTTCACTGCAAGAACCCCTACACTGGGGCCAAGACGGAGGACTGATCTTGCTGGTGACTTCACCGTGACACTGTGGGGGAATGTATTGTGTGGTACAGATGTACAATCCAAGAACCATACCAATTCAACCCCAGCTACGACAAGATCCCCCAAAAGCCAGGGCACAGGGTCGAGGGCAGATGTGTTTTTGGTGCTGCGGCCGGCAGAGTGATGACTTTCCTTCTCAATGGCGTCCGCAGGCTTACTGCCCGCAAGGGAACACGAATCCCAACGGATTGGTCTCTTGAAGCAAGAACATTCTGCACGTTTGGGGGACAGCGCTCTTCTGTTTCTTTGTTGTTTGTGGCAGCTTGGTAGGTTTCTCGAACATTATACAAAGGTTTGGACGCGGCCCCCGTGCATCTTGGAGACCTGTGATGAACCCGGGACCATCCCGGCGGGCTTTCGCCGCTACCCGTCACCGATAGTCGAGGGCTCCGGATGTGATACATGCGTGTGAAGACCTGGAAGTTCTTGTAGATGTCGCTTGGAAGCACCCGAGGTGTGAATGACGTGTGGGAGTGTGCCCAAAGCTACACCGGCTTCGCCCAGAAGGCAGTTTCGAAGGATTCAAAGCTGTCCGATGAAACGATCCGTGGTAGAAGCCTTGGTCAACTGGTGCCAGGTTTGTGACATGACGGACAACTGCGAGGCTCCTCGGCCTCCGATGCCGAAGCTTCCCTGTGAGCATGTGACGCACAGCGACTCCTGAGGTTAGGGCTGTCCTACAGGGCTGTGCCCAGCTTGTGCCTTGCCAAGCGGAGCAGTCTGACTGTCGCCTGGAGCTCGGGGAGTGCGTGCGTGTTGAGCACTTCAATCACTCGATGCAGACCTGGCACGTGAAGCGAGGCTACGACATGTACGGCTGTGTCAGCGTCCAGCCCGGATCTACCTGCCGGATTCGATGTCAGGCCTGGGTACGATATTGCAGCAACCATTCCCTGCCTGCTGCCTCCGCAACTAACCATCAATGCATAGATTTCACGACGTGGCTGCTGCATCCAGGTTCCGTTCGCTGGCACGGAGACCATGGGAACATGTTTGGATGGCAACACCGCCACCGACGGTTTGGCTCCACGGAATCAAAAGGTCTTGCCGTTGGAATTTCACGCGGCTTTCGGGTCGGTCCATTTTTGGGTTAAGCCAGCACAGTACATGGTTGATGGGTAGCATCGGTTCCGAACTACAATTAAGCAGCTCAGCTCAGGTTTGGACACCGCCTGTCTGCACGATAGACACTTGCGCCGACCCGGCTGATGGTGGTGGCTATCAGAAGGTGGAGAACGTGTGGGAGTAGCATGGCTGAACCTACTTCTGAGAGACTGCGAGAATGCTTCCAGGCACCTTCTCCAAAATGATGTCGGTGCGCACAGTCTCAACGCATGCACATGACGCGAATAGGACTGAGAAACGAGGTGGAGTGTTCTGGTACGGCTGGTGCAAAGGATTGTTATTTCAGATAAGGCTACATGCTCCCCAGCTTCCCAGCTTTATCTTCACGAATCCCGACCAAGGTGCGCCCCAGGCTACTCAGGCATGGCCACAAAGACCTGCCAATGGGCGGAGGTGGCGGCTGTTTGTGAGAATTGCCGACTGCTTTGCAAAGCTGTGGAAGCTTGACCTGTCAAGCTCTCCCAGGATGCTTGTGAAGCCAGCCCAATGCTCTCCGGCTGTGTGCCGGAGCAACCTTGTCGCCTGCCAGATCTGGGCGACGTACCTTGCATGCCAGGAACTCGGGAAAGTCTGACACGCCTTTAAAGAAGATTACAAGAGTATCGTGCATGTATTATGATTCGGTGACTTTTCAATCCTTCCGAATCTGTGTTTGGAGTGAACCTCGGCAAAGGATGACGCTTACATCGGAATCGCTCATTATTTGGAGAGCAAGTAAGAGCAAGCCGTGTGGTCTCCACATAGCAAAGGACCATTGGCGGGGATGGATACATGCTTCCCCAGGGAGTGTCGTATCATCAGAACCACTACTTACCGGGCCTCAAGCCGAAGGCACAGATCAGGGGGTGCCATAGCCGGGTCCATTCCTTTACGGAAGCAGAGGCCGAAACTTCAGCTGCCGGAGTCACAGAGGCCAACGCTGAACACATTCAGCAGCCGAATGGCAGGGTGGGCGAAACGTTCTAGCTTCGGTCTAAACGTCGGTCGCCATGTAGTCGGCCGCAGCCCACATTCTCTGTCTACGCGGGTGCTGGCATCCCTCCATGACCGGGAGACAGTTCGACTCAGAATAGGCCAATTGCCGCATCAGACAGGACAGACAACGATAGTAACACGGCTGGGGGGAGGGGAATCGAGATCTCCAGACCGTTACCCCTCACCTTCATCCTTCGTGGAACACTCAGGTACGACACGTCGGGCTGCATGAATGTCCGTATCTCGGAAGACAGCTGTCTTGATATTGCACTGGCACCGTTCTCTCTGATCCTAGTCGAGGTGGAGCCCGGAAAGGTGTGTAGCATCCGCTGCCAGGCCGGGTGCTTCAACGACCGGAGTCCGGATGAGTCCGGAGTGACTCTTGTTTTTTCTTTCCTTTCCGAACGGAGGCTCCTTACATCGGACCACAGACGGATTTCACCTGCAGCTTCCTCGGCACCCCAATCGCCTAACGATGTCGCTTCAGCTCGCGCTTTGGCTCTCCCCAACCTTTTCGACGATGTACGTCCAGCTTGATTGCTTGCCCAGGTCCGGTGGCTAACACGGACCCTGAGATGCCCTTGCAAGGTGTGTTGCCCGTCTGTGGCTGTGGGAGCCCCGGATCTCCTGGGCCGAAAGAGACCTTTCCTCCGGATCAGAGCCTGTTGGTCTTCGGCTTAGAGTTTAGACTAAGCCGTCATTCTCTACTTGTTGCTATTTTCCCGAAGCCGCTGCCTCCGCGCCCATCTCTAGCACCTCTACCGACTCTGCTGTGACTCCCGCTCCTGCCTACACCTGCAACCGCCACGCACGACGACACCACCCCCACTGCCACAATCATGCAGAACGAAAGCTGCGACTGAAGCGTGAAGCTCAATGCGAGTTGTCTTGTGTCCAGGTGCCGAAGCGAACCCAATCCCGCCTGGATACAATGTGCACGGATCTAAGAACGCTGATCATGCATGTTGTCCGCCGACGATGTTCCTTGCGTAGTGTTCAGGACTCGCGACCAGTTTGAGAACACGGTGACCTATTCCTGTGCCACCGGCTACGCAGGCTTTGCTCGCAAGTCGTCTTGTAGCCCTGATCTTGTAAAGCGCCTCACGAGTGGAGATGGCCAGGTGTTGCACAGAAGGTCTGCCTTCCTGGCCCGCACCCCAGAGACGAAGACCAGAGCTTGCAAACGCCTTGGCTTGGGGGAGCCTGGCAATCCGCTCGCTTCTGGGAATACAGCATCTTTCCGATTGGTCCGCGTTGAAGTTGTGTGGAAAGAGAAAAAGGATTCGGGAACTTGTCCTTCAAGCCAGTAGAGTGGGGAAGAAGTGGAAAGCTGTAGATTCAGCTTACTACCCCAACAGCTTTGAATCCCTCTGCTTTGCTCCTCCTGCGTGCGGCTTGCATCGGATGTGCTGCAAACCATGGAACACACCAACCTGCCACCACCGACCAGACCACGACCAAACCACCACACCGATACCAGATCATCACGGCCGCACCACCAAGAGGAACAACCGGACGTCTTGGAACTGGTGGTCGTGTCTCGTTTGCTGTCAGTCTCTACCAATCCTGCTCACCAAGAACATCGTCGTTGCCGCAGTCTTGTCAACGTCAGCAACATCGGCGCCACCGCCATCATTTATTACCGTCGTGAAGTCGTGCACCGTGGCTCATAAATACAGCCAGTGATACTCGCGCAACATGATACTCGCGCAACATCTCAACAGCATCATTCGTGTAATGCTCAAGTTGTCTTCCTCCTGCTCCTCCTGCTCCTCCACTGCCTCGATGAGTAACAGTGGTATGGCAGAGCAGCAGTTAGACAGAATCAGAAGACGAAGGAGCAGTGACGATTACGTCCCTTAACCTTTAGCCTTGTACAACCAAAATCAGCCCTAGCATGGCCGTCATCACCATCATCATCACCAGATGTTCAGCATGATAGCCACCGTCATCACCACCATTATCATCGTCGTCGTCATCATCAGCATTAGCGTGAGCATGAGCATCAGCATCATGATCATCATCAGTCTCTTCATCGTCCTTGTCGTCCTCCTCGTCGTCGTACTGTTCTTCTTATTCGAGCCATCATTACTACGATCATCGCTTTCAGGGTCATGCCCGTGGCACGAATGCTTTAAGAGATGCATCTGGCAAACGATCGCTAGCAGAACGCAGAGGCCTGTTTCGCGAAATCCTGCCAAGGCAGCGGCCCCGAATGCACTGTGGATCCGCTCATGACAGGCCCCTGCCATGATCGAAGTCACTTGAAGCCACGACTCATATGCCTGCTGTCCTCTGGACAGGTTGTGCGATCCCCTTGGCTTGCGAGGCCAAAGACAGTCTCTGACACAAGCACAGAGCCATCGCGATCCTCTGATTCAGGCCGTTTTCCAAGACGAAGGCTCCGGAGAGGGCCTGGCGCGTGGGCACCTTCACTTCGGGCCAGCATTGGTGGGCGCTGCCGTGGACGAGGTGGGCTTCAGTCTCATATATGTGACGCAAGACCAGAGCGCAACAAGAATAGCTGCTTCGATGTTGTAAAGGCCGACGTCTTGCGATACGAAGTCTATTGGGCTGACAGCTGCGAAGACCGCGTGGAGCAGCAGGTGCGCTTGGCACAGGAAATTTGCGGGACGGTCACATAACGACCCAGGAGTGTTTCGGGCTCTTCCGCTGGTGGCCGAAAATCTGAGCACGTGTCCTTTGAAATGCCTCTCGGAAGGCTCTGGGCAGATCTGTGTCTGGCCTGGGCGATGCCTGCTGCAGGTAGCTTTCAAAGCCCTCAAGCAATCCAGAGTCCAAAAAGCAGCATTTCGCGCAGGACGGACGTGTATCGGGTCAGCATAGACAGCCGGAAGCCGAGCAGCATGGAGCTCAGTCAACTTCAAGGGATTGGCGTGCAATCTGCGGCTGGTCGACGTTGACTCGTTGACTGCTCGCCCAGCTGCGACGGGCTTCGTCGTCTACGCAGTCCTGGAGTCCGGCTTGGCACCTGTCGGCGTCTATGTTCACTTGAACGAGACTCTCCTGGCCGGGTACCAAGATGTAGGATTCGCACCGTACGCAGCACGCCCGAACACTATCGACCTTCCAGGATCGCGCGATCATCTCCAGCAAAGCCACTGCCGGTGCTCCAGCGGCTCGGCGGGCGAATAGCACCTGGCCTCCTGCCGTCTGCGGACTCATGGAAGCCCTAGAGCTCGCTCAATCTTACTCTGAATATCTCCACGCAAACGCTTGACGTCACTTATTTTCGTGGCCGAATGCCGTTGCATGATAGTGACGGATCTTCAGGGCAAGCTTTAACTGTGTTCAGCACCTTTCGGTACAGTCCTGCAGGTCAAAGGCTTGTCACATTCCAGCTTGACAGCCGTCGGCAGCAGAATTCTAGCAGCGGACACGTGCGAATCTGCCTGATCAAGGCCGTTGTTGTTCTTTTCGCTGCCTTGCTGATGCTGCCAGGGCCTTAGAATGCGGCATCCTCCCATGGACTGACGTGTGCAGACGCCACTCTGGGCTCGTACTTGGAGATTGTAAGTGCCCGCGGACCATGGGACACCCACCGTTCGTTTGCCTTGTGCTCAGGTGTTGACAACCAGTTTCATGAGAGACCTGGAGGCTGTGCAAGCAAAGATCTTGGGACGTTTAGCTCCGCGACGAGCTTCGCTATGTGGCTAGAGCTAGGGCTAGGGATTTCACTTGACACAGTGTCGGCAGCCCCCAAATCCCACAAAGTTGACGTTTGGTGTTGGCCGCGCAGCCATCCAGCTGCAATTCAACAGAAGGGATATCGGAACCTGCCTAGTGCTGTGATGTTCCCTTTCATAGAAATTCGCTTGCATGTGTTTCACCTGCAGACGCACTCCAATGCGACTCCAGTTAGGCAATTGGTTGCATCCAAGCTATGCAAGTCTTCAGTCTGGTGGGAACCCGGAGTGCGAGAGTGGGAGTGCGAAGTCGAGACTACCAGGGCGAGTCCTCAAGGGACTTCCTCGGGCTCTGGTTGCTTCTCATCTTTGCTTGTTGGAGGAGCTTTTATCCGGCAGATCTAGTCTCTGATTGCGTACTTGACATAGGCTGAGAAGCCAGGATGCATTTAGCAATTTTCAGTTGGAGTCTGCGTGAAACAGCGCACGTTGTCAGGCAGGCATGTTGTGTCATGCTATACCGCTGAACGAGTGGAGCGGCGTGGTGGGGCGAAGCAGCTAGTTGTACTGCAGCAAACGGCCAGACCGGCTCTTTCATCCGCGCTGCTTGTGAAAGCATGTGAAGCTCCATCAGTGGGTTTCCGGAATTCGAAGACCAAAGGTCTACACAGTTTCTGAGACCCTTCTTATGGCCATCGGGTGCAGCGGCCGCTTGCAACGTCAGTGTAAGTCTCGGCAGGTGCATATGGAGGTGGTGTGGGTAAAAAAAGTAAAGGGCCGTGGAGCTGTAATTGCACTTGAAACGGTAGGCCACATTGACATCTTGTCGAGACGCTTCCTCTGTTGATCTTGAGCTGCAAGGTTCAGTAGAATGTGTTCATCAAGACAGCAGCTTGTGCAAAATGTGCAGAGCCAACAGGGCAGCATGAACTCTGACTTGTGAAACGATTATTGCTTGTCATGTCAACCTGCTTCTAAACTCATTACTTTTGCATGAAAGCTTCCGCCACATGTGACCGTACCAGAGTGGGTCCTAAAGCTAATCGGATTCGCCGCCATGTTCAAGAACCGTGGCCGGCCAAAGGGCGGGATTCTCAGTAAATGTGCTTTGTCTCTACCTCGGTCCAGTGGATCGACTAGCTTTCGCACAGTCGTAAACGCATGTTCCTGCACAGGCAGGAAACTGGCTATGCTGATGCAGTTCGCTCTAGTTGCCAGCATGCAGGCACTCGGCGAAAGGCAGATGACGATGACGATGAGGCAATCAGGTTCATGGATTTTGTCCATTGATTTGTTTGGTGTTCTTCTTTAGTCTTGAGATACCATTGCTTGTCGCTTGTCCTGTGGCTCACGGCTGCCATGCACACCGAGAGTCTCGTGACAGGACAGCGAGACCGCGGAGCAGCAAAAGCTCCAGGAGGCGTTGCCTCGAAGCCTCGTTTGCCTCAGCTGGGGCTTGGAAGTCGGTCACTGCCGGCTGCAGGTTCGACTTGTTCAGAAGGAGCAGTGGCAGAAACCAAGAGGAGCCTGGCTGGCTGCCCTTTGCAAGTACAGCATACTTCAGAGAGGCTTGGGATCCGAACCTAGGGCCGCATGTGCCAGGTGGTGCCGGTCCCCGAGATGATGAAGCAGCCGGAGGAAGAGGAAGAGGAGGCGTGAGCCGATTTGCCTGCCTCGATACTCGAGATATCGCGATCCGACGTGTTGATGTCAGGAGGACAAAGAGCAGTGGGGTCTCCTGGAAAAGTCCTTCTCGGGCACTGCTGGTCAGAAGGGACCCGACCATCACCTGGAGGCTGCGGGCTTTGAGATGCTTTCCGGGTTGGGACAGGACCGAAGGGATGAGAGAATTGAGGCGAACTTGAAAAGGATGCTCCAGGTTTGCGGGGTGTGTTTAGGGCACGCTCGTGACCAAGCAAGAACGAAGTAGTGAAGCTTTATGCTCCTGCTTGTGACATCTGGCACCACTTCTTCGGGAGTCGTTACCGGAAAGGGCTAGTTGTTGCGGGGCCTACATGTCCAGCTGCAAGCCGTACTCGTAGCAAGTCATCCCCTCTATGGAGAGGTACAATGCCGTGAACTGAATCCAAGATGCACGGTTTGTGGTTGGTCATCGTAGCTGGCTGCAGTGCCAACATATCGGAGGTGTCGGTTTGCAGGGTGTTGGCATGCTCGTGACCAAGCAAGAACGAACGAGGTCGTGAAGCCCCTAATGCTGACTTGGCCTTCTGTTGGTGGTCGGATTTTGCAGGCTTACCTCAACGAGCGCCTTTACAACAAGCGCAAGGCATTCCTTTGGCTTCCGTTCTCAGTGTTACTGAGTCGTGCTTCAATTTCAAGACTTCCAGACTGCGAAAGTGATCTGGATGCCTGGATGCTCGCACTTTCATGCAATTGTGAGACAAGGGCTTTTTGGGGATCTCCGGGATTGCGGTCTCGGAGGGGCGTTGTGCAGGAGCAAGAGGAGCCCGAGATAGAGAAGAGTCGCGAGGAGCGTCTCTACGAGGTTCCAGCGAAACTGCAGGTGCGGTCTGCTGCGTATTCGCGCTTCGAAGATCTGAGTGGCAAGTTTGTCTCGGGGAGCTAGGTCTTCAGGGAGGGGCCCACGAAATTACCAGAGCTGAGACTTGCTAACTTCGGACCCTCAGCCGTACTTGCCTTATCTGAGGTAGGCTTGAGCTGCACCTCAGAGGCAGGCTTTCCTCAGTTTCCCTCGCAGGTTCCCGATGCAGCGGAGGGCCAGGCAGACAAGCTGCTCCTCTTGAAGGATGGCAGGTTGTCGTTGAAAGTCCTGTCAGGCTTGCTCAGGAGAGGGTCTCCGACTGAATGTTGAGATTTTGCTTGCCGAGTGCCGGCCAAGGATGAGCTGGGTTGCAGGCCTGGCCGAGGCCGGTCTGCTTGAATCCGGTTCACAACTCACATGAGTCGCATTGACAGGAGATTTTATTGATATGGTTTTTGGTTGCAGTGGGCGATGTGACCGTGAAAGGTAGCCCTGCCTGTCGAGTACAAGCTCAAGAACATAGAGGCCAGCTTTCTTTCGACACGGTATTCACCGCTTCACTTTCCTTGTAACAGGCGACGGAGAAGGCTAAGCGGGAGTACCTCTATGGCGAACACGCGAGTGCCAAGCCGTGCTGCCGTGCACGTTTGGCCAGTCCTAAATCATCAGACCGTCAATCTGACACAAAGCACAAATCGATTCTACAGGGGAGCCGTCATCGAGACCGATGCTGTTACGAGGAAGGCATTTGGATCCAGGCGCGTTGCTTTCTCTGGGGTGGGTTTGCAGACAGGGTCGGGAGTGCGGCGCCGCTGGAAGCGTCCTTGTTCGAAAGGTTCATGAACGTCGATCGGCGCGACGACTCCAAGGCCGCTGCCGAACCCTAAACCCTAAACCCTAAATTGTACTCTGACGGTTCAGCCTCTCAGCCTCATGCGCAGAGCGCCACCGACGATGCCGCGCTCGAGCGCTTCCGGAAGCGATTTCGCATGAGGCCCAGAACCAACTTCGCAGAGCCCTCTAGTTGACGGCAGCTAGGTAGCATCAGCCAGTTTCCAATCGCCAGCTTGTCCCAGGTCAATGATGCGGCTCCGCATTGCCCGCAGATTCGAAGGTGTCAAAAAGTCCCGACACAGTTGGCAGTTGGCTGTTCGGCATGTTTGCAGGCTTCTAAGCACAGTGTCTCGAGCTTCTTTTCGGAGCAGCCATGCCTGCTTCCAAGACAAACACGGGGGTCATCTCCTGCTCAGGCTTGCTTTTTAATCTTGATGCATTTAAAGACCATAAAACCATAGTGGTGACGACGACCGATTGCTAGCTCACACAAGCTCGCAAATCTCTGGCGCAATGTCAGCGCAGAATGCCTGCCTACCCAGCGGACAAGAGGGTGGACAAGAGCACCATAGAGCGGCTACCCTACATTTTAGTGGGTCTTCCTCGCTTTCGGCATGCTTCTGCGTTTTGTAAGTGTCATACGGTATACTTTTGTAAGTTGGCAGCAGCTGCAGAAGGCGATCTTGGTCTCAGCTTTCGTTCTCCTTCAAGGCGGTGGCCCGGAAGAGAAGAGGCATGATTGAACGTCCCATACTGCTCAGGAGGGGGGCATCATCACTTCCTGGAACAAGCGGGCGGAGGAGGCCTTGTTCGTGGGCTGCAGCTGCTACCAGATTCGCTTTCTTTTTGTGACTGCTAGGTCCTTGGCCGAAAGTCGCAAGATGTCATGGGTCAGGCTTGAATGGGGGTTACAGTAGTGCTCAAGGGTACCCAGAGAGCAAAGCGAGCAGCCTCTCCCCATCGTAAGTTTCTTCCGAAGGCCTGGACCTCGCTTGTGGTCGAGGGGTGTGCGGCTGAAGCAGAAGCAGCCATCGAGGCCACCTAGCCCCGGGAAAAGTTCGCAGAGGGTCTTCTGACTCTGATTTTGTTGTTTGTCGTCTCGGTCTCAGGCTGTGCAGGCTCCCGGTGAAGAAGTGTCGATCCCTCTCCTCACAGGTGGGCTGAACCCACAAGTCGACATTTGTGCGGACTGGGTTTGAGCTGTGAAGCTAGGAGTCGTCTGTGCAGGTGACGACAAACGCTGCTGCATGCGCTTTGTTGTTCGCCGCTTGTCTACGTGATGGCTCCGACCCAGAAAGACCATCTGCCACCTGCGACACCATCTTGAGGCAAGTTTGGGCGCAAGAGTTGCTTCCTCTTCAGCTGTGGCCACACCCTGCCGACGTGCAGCGGTGTTCCATCGTGGCCTCTGGAGATCCGAAACGCCGAAGGCAGCGGGCTTTGACACCGACACCAGTCGCAGTGCAGCGTCTGCCACAGGTCAGGGCAAGTCCGCCTACGCCGTCAGCGATCTCCCAGAGAATCAGATCCTCCTTGAGGTGAGGAAAGTGCGGAGGGGCGGAAGCGGATGACTTTGGGTGACTTTCTGAGGAGGAGCCCTTCTACACCCGGACTCCGCCCGCGGAGCTGCACGGGCGGCCAGAGTGGGACGAGGCGAGGCGCAGGGACCTTCGCTGTCGAGGCGTCGTAGCGATTTTTGTTTGCGTTTGCCTTTGCCCTTCCAGGACTGGAGCGCCGCCTTCACTCGCATCAAAGCCCCGATGCGGCTGCCTGGTGGAGAAAGTGAGAAGGAGAAGCCTCTGCTGGTATCCTGGCATGTCTATGGCATCAGCTTTGCTTTCGAGAGGTGAGGGAGCATTTGAAGATCTTGTTTGGTTGCGGACGACTTTGCACTGCGGCAAGTCTCTGACGTGGTGATTCATGACGAGGATGGCCGGAAAACGCCTAAGAAAGGTGAGAGTTGAGAGGTGGGGAAGTTCTCCCCTTCCGAGGCAAGTACCGCCCTCGTCCGGGACGTCCTCGGATTTGTAAAGATGCCGGAGAGCTTACGAGGCCAAAGAGAATTCACAGGGTTCGTTGGCCCAGCCTCTTATATGGGTTCCTTATGATAATTACAGTCTAATGGGCCCCAAACCCCTATTCTAATTATTAAGGCCCCTGGGCTCACCGCAGCCGCACATCACAGAATCTCCGGGACCCTTTCAGAGGTGCTCTGATGTCCTTCAGCTTCCCTCCGCTGGACTTGGAGCACGGGCTTGTCGACGTCGCACTGCAACTTGCAAAGCTCTGTAAAGAGCGCTTGCCAGAATGCAAGGCCAGAAGCTACTTGTTCGGTCTGTCTGATGGGATCAGTGGGGTCCGAAGTGCTGCGATGGTTTCCATCCAGCATCATCCAGCCGAGTTTTGCTGCAAATTGCAACATATTGCAGCCCCCCAAAAAGACTCTGGGTCGACAGCCAAGGTTTCATGCAGAAGTATAGCACCGGGAAGATGTAGACTAAACAGCTCAAGTATTCATGCTTCGTGTAGGTCTGCTCATGGCGTGTTCGGAGAGGGTGACTCCTGTCAGGCCTTTCAGGTGGAGTGGCTACAAGTCGGGATCCTGGTGACAGAGATGCTGCTCGAATGAGATCTAGTCTTGCCTCTGTCAGCAGTGAGGGGTGTTGACTAGCTTTCGTGCGAGCTAGCCCCTCAGGAACATCTTTCCTGGTGGCAGGGTCTTTTGGACAATGAGCCCCTCGGCGAAGTGTCAATGACGACATACCGCGGCCATCGTTCCTTGGTTTGAAGCACCCTCTGCGCGGAGGTCGTATCAACCACAGCTGCGCTCCCAACTGCGTGTTCACGAACGCTCCCGGCCGCTGGGGACTGCGAACGCTGCGACCAATTCGCAAGGGCGAGGTGTGGACGAGAAAAGTCAGAGGAGCCACCGCTCACTATATTCACTAGATGCAGGAGCTCACTATCTCCTACCTGGGTGAAGAGCTACTGCTTCCCACGAGCCAACGCAGATGGCTTCTCTGGCGGTCAAAATGCCTCTTGCATCTGTTGAGCCCGTAGCCCTTATCGTAGGCAAGGCGACGGCTCTCAGCCGCTCTTATGTTGTAGTTGTATTTGTATGTAACGTAGTAACGCAGATCTTCTGCTTGTGCAAGCCTCCAAGGTTTCATTTGTCAGTGCTCTCGCTGCACCAGCTCGGAGGCGCGCCTTGCTGCAGCGCAGCATCCTGCTGTAGCATTGTCATAATCGCGGGACAGAATGGGTAAGCGTAGCCGCCGCCACCACCACCTCCATCGGCACCACCAGCGAGCTTTTGCATTCTAGTCAATATCGTGCACAGAACCGTGGCAGGAGCAGGATTTTCACCAAATGCATGTGATGCTGATTTCGCAAAGGGGGCAATGCCAAGGTGACGTATTGTATCAATGAAGCCTGCATCCATAAAGCGCCCTTTGCAAAGTGCAGGATCCCTTGAGAGACCGTGCTTGCATCTGTCTGGGCCGGGCCCCGCTGTCCTGGCGAGTGCTTGGCCTGCATTACTCGTGTCATTGTACCCGTAAGGACCATCAGGGTTTGAGTTTGGGGTTTAGGGTATGGGTTCAGGGCTTAGGGTCCACTCACCGTGAACATGAAGTGGGGCGGTTTCGGCGGCGTATATAGGGCTCCTGTTGAGTGCTGGTGAGTGTATGATTTGGTTTGCATGATGGACAGTCTGGGAACTAAGACCCCTCTTGCCATAGTGAGTGATCGATGTGTTACTTACAAGTACATAGGAAGAAATAGAGGAATGCTGAGACTATCTGAGACTCAAGCTCGAGACGCTCCACATAAGTTGTCTCATAGGATGCGGAGTATCATGACGTTAGTGTCGCAGCGTTTACTGCGAACCGTTGCCGATCTGAGCTGCAATTGGGTGGTTGTCAAAAATCTAGTCCCCTTTTGGGTCCCTAACATAATACGGCACCTAACATTTAAGGTGCCCAAAAGGGACCCCAGTTTTGACAACTACCCAAGTAGATACACGTCCAGGATTGGTGTTGCTGCGTGTCCTGTTGCCCTTCCGGTTCTGCGCAACGGTGTCAAACTCGCAGTGGGCGTGGGAGCCCGAGGAACTCGGGTTACCGAGCGCCACCTTTACATACGTCTTCCCGCCGGCACAAGTTGATAAGTGCTGCCAGCAGCTCTGGCAAGGCTCGGTAGATTTCGAAGCATGCGGAGATTGAGGTGGTGCACAAGCCTGCGGTTTGGCAGCGCGCGGATCCCTCGACGAAAAGCCGCGCCGTGGCGTTGCTGAAGGCTCGGCCCAGCAGTGCAGGTGCTGTGATCTGGACGAGTGAGTTTTGGGAATGGAGCGGTGCATTGCCAGGAAGGCTTCGTTTTCGCCTCGACCGGAGAGCGTCCTGGCGCCAACATGTGATTTCGCTGGAGCAGCTGTTTGTGCGCAGAGACCCGATGTTGGCATTTAGTCAAGCCTGTGCTGAGCAGGTTTGGTGCAGGAAGCCATAACCGCACCTGAGGATCAGAAGAACGGCGGAGGGTGCATGGGTGCAGGTGGAGAAGTGTGAAGTGAACGGGTGGCTTGATTGCATCCAGCTTTGAGGCTTCACTTTGGACACATGCCGCAGCTACATCATCGCTCGATAAGATGCATTTGAGTTTAGTATCTTGAAATATCTTGAATGGGTTGCAGGTTTTTTCTTTTGGCGAAGCTGCCTTATGGCTTTATGGAAGCTGCCTCTGCACGTCGTTCATGCCTGAGCCAGCAGCCCAAAGCTGCATCAGGCAAACATCCGGCTGGGGTCTGATTGATGGAGCAGCCCTGGGCATCTCGTCCGTTATTCAACTAGGGTTAGTGTCAAACCACTCCAGGGAAGTCTTGGAACATGTGGTTGTCTCCGTGGCGTTCTCGAGGATTGGGTCGTCTGATCGAGCCTTGCGAGGGCAGGCTTCCATCGCTATGCCCGCAGGATGGGGTTGCTCCTGGGGAGCTTCTCGGATGCCCTGGGACTGTGGGTGAAAGAGCCGCCTCAGCCAGCCGCCTCGCTGCTTCCCTGCTGGGAGGTTGCGAGATCGCCTGCAAAAGCGAGCGCTTGCTTCGCGAGCAGGCGGCTGGCGCCTGCTCTCTTCTGTCACGGCTTTCAGCCAGTGCCACACAGCCTTACCAAAGCACGGAATGTCAAGCGCCAATCTGACAAAATGCAGTGAGTGGAAGCATCATCTGTCGATGGAGCATTTGTGCTACATGTGTTGTGACAACAGCGCTAGAACATGGCAGTTTCGTAGTACGTGTGTGATGCTGCCGCGTGCCAAGAGGTCTTAGATTGAACTGGTATGACGGAGACAATCTCGAACGACACTTGCTTCCTGCGGCCAGCGCGGCCACACAGTGGAGGCGAGATGACGGTGATGACGAGGTGGGAGAGCGAAACTGTTGCCCGCATGGTGGCCGTCGCGGATGTTGCTGCCGTTGATATCCAAATCAATGCCCTCTTTCAGATGCAGATTTCAGTGTAAGGCTTTTGTACCCTAATGTCGACGTGCAACTTCGCATGTTTTGGAGAAGATCCGAGCAACTAGTGAAGCCCACCGCCCATGTAGGGATGATTTTGCCTTGAAAAGCTTTTCTTTGAGTGTGTTGTTACAGTTGGATTTGCTAGTCCAAGCCTTCCGGATGCGAGTGCTTCTGGCTTGAGGCTTGCGGGTGGTGGTGGTGGTGGTGGTGGTGGTGCTGCTGGTGGTGGTAGTGAGATGTGTATGTGAGGAGTAGTCGGTGTTGTTGTTGTTGTTGCTGTCACCACCGCGGCCGCCGCCAATCACCACCACCGCCACCTCTGCCTCTCATTGAGTCGTTGCATTGAGCAGGATATCGACACGGAGACGGGGGCTGAAGTCCAAGGCCCCGCTTTTCTCCCCATCGGTTGGGCTCGGCTTCGCGGAGAGTGCTGGCACTGCCGATGTGGATGCATCACCAAAGCGATGGCTGCCGAATCTCGTATGGAGAGCCGACAAGGAACTGGCAGTCACGGAGTTGAGGTTGCTGGCAAAGTGTGCTGTGGAGGTTCGACTGGTATGCCGCGAAGCTTCGGTGCCTTGTTATCTTCCTTGACTCTGCAGAAGCTGAGGAAAAAGAGCTGTCGGAAGTGGCCCAACGAGTCTTCGTACGAGACCCAGTGCGGTAACATGCGTTTCAAACCCGGCTGAAAGATCATCATGTTAACAGCGGCCCTGCCATGCGGACTGCGTGCGATTCTTCCATCTGTCAGGCGCTGTCCTTGCCAGAACAGCCGAGGGCTTCGCAAGCGGGCGTCAAGGGTGCGCCTTTGCTCTCGACCTCCCATGTTTTTAAAGTCTCAAGAGAGAGCTCATATGAGCCCCGGCTCCGGCTCCATGGCTTGGGAGGCCTGGCCCTCCCGGACGAAGGCTTCGTTCTCACGGCCTTGCGCCTCCTGGTGGCAACGGGGGTTGAATTCGGCAGCTTGGGACCTTGCCTTCAAGCCCAGGTTTGGCAGACGATGCGGGACGCCTCTTCGGCCGCCGACACTGGATTTGGCAGTGGGGCTACCTGTCCAAATGAAGCACGCTTGCCACTGGAGGTATATGCGAGTGACTTTGTGGCGTTTTCTGGAGCTCGCAGCTCTCGCTCTCCCTCTGACTGGTTGTGCAATGCTTGGCAGCGCCGAGGTCTTCTTTTCGCCGTGGATCTGGACCTCTCCCTGATCAGGCAGTGGCGATGCAGTGGCAATCCCGTGGCTCAGTGCACGCAAGCTGGTGCAGCGCCTTGGCAGGTACACATATATGCAGTGGGATGCAGCTTTCGCATCTCGAACGACAGCCATGCTCATCGAGGCCTTTGGCAGTCAAAGCTGCCAGCGGCAACTTTCCGATAGCCAAGCAAAGCCTGCGCCGTAGTAGATACAAACGAGGCAAGATACATTAGTGTGCAATACAATTTAGTCAGGATGTAGGGCTTTGGAGATTTAGGGTTCCAGGATGTTCAGGGTTTGGGAACCCTAAAACCCTTGGAATTGCTTTTTCTTCCACTGCATGACTACAGACCCAAGTGGCCGTGAAAATGCAGAGCCCCGCGACCCCAAGGTCGCCAAGGGATGGTTGGTTTGAGGTCAAAAAGAGCCCTTAACCGAAGGGCTTCGGGCTCAAAGGCCCTCCCTCCTTCATTGCAAACAAAAGAAGAAAGGGCGCGTTATGTGTTGAAATTAAACTAAAGAGAAAAGGTAAAGAAAGAACGGAGTGAATGATGCACGCTTTTCCTTTTGTTGAAAATCCACACGAACCATTCCATCACAACAGGACTCTCTTCAGTAGGATACAGTATTGTTTCGCTTAAAGTAAATGAAATAAAACAACGGAGTGAAGGGTATGCGTGTTTATTTCTTCAAAGCGAACAAATCCCAATGGCTCCTTCGTGAGCAGGTGATAGGAAAATGAAGAGAGCCTTGTGGTGCAAACTAAAGAAAAGAACACAAAGAAGTGGAACGAATGCGTGGTTCTTGTTCTTTCATCAATCCACAAGCGAACGGAATCAGGAACCCAGAAAACCACCCATTATAAAGACCATGAAGTGAGTAAGCGGTTGAAATCAAGGACAAAGACACAATGTAGCGTAATGAAGACAGCGGAAGCGTGGTTTTTGTTCTTTACTTTAGCCATGCATGAACGACCAAGTTTACAACTATAATTTAGGTCTTACGTCTTGGAATGCAACGTAATGTTACCCCCCATCGCGAAGAACCGCCCAAAACTCCCAAAGCACTTTCCCTCAGGTGTGGGACTGGCTCACTTCGCTGGGCCTCTCGCAGGCGCAGCTCCCAGTGCGATCGCTTCCAGAGCTTTTTTCGGACCCTGAGACTGCTGAGACACTTCAGCCGACAGATGTCAAGAGCCCCCCTCTGGTGAACTTCATTTCTGCATGAATACTTCGTGGGGTTGGCTACAGGGCGGACGATGCAAGTTCCGAGGAGCCTTCGTTATTTCTGCATAGCCGCGCGCAGCGGCTTGCAAAGGAGCTGGAGAGTGCCACTCGGCGGCAGGTCTGCAAGCGTCAGCTTGGGGGATGTGGGAAAGTCGCAAGGTGATATTGCCCAATCACCCGAAGGACGACAAGGCTCCGCATTGGCACGCTTGTTCCAGCGGCGAGTGGTTCCTGCAGGACCGTTTCAGGGAGCTGCAGGGAGAACTCCGACGTCGCTTGGAGGCTTCCTCTCCATCTGCGACTGGATGGCAGTTGGGCAAGACCTTCCAAGTAGGTAAGTAGCTCTCGCAATGTCCTTTTGTGTATAGCGCTCGGCTACCCTTGTGTTCCCGTAAGAAGCCTGAGGTAAGCTTGCTTCCGCCGCGTGAGTTCATCCCCGGAAGTCTTTTCATCGCACACTAGAGACCGGGCGCCTCCCGCTTTTGACTTCAACTTGCGGGGGGCGCTGTGCCCGCATAAGAGCTCTGGCTCTTGGAGGTCTTTCTGTGGAACAGCTGCGGAAGGATCATGGGTCCAAAGTGACCCTTCTGGATAGATTTTCCGTGAAAGCTTGGCTTCCCGTGCCCCGTTCATCTGAGATCGCATGCTTTGAGCGATCGCATCGAGTTGTGCTGGATTGCTGCCTGTGTGCCATTTCGGCCCTACCTCACCGGCATTGTAGGCCATGTTGCCAAGAAGCTTTCACAAACAAACAAGCCAAGCGACATCGGTGGGAGATTTGTCATCTGGAAAGGCGCTGGAGCCTAGTTCGCTCGTGGTCGCGATGGCAATGAAGGCACAGAAGCGACCATCCGTACATACGCGGCTCCTTTGCGTACTTATACTGTTCTGGAATTGCTGCTAGACGGACGCACGGGCAGGTGCTATTAGCGGTTGCCGTGCCCGTAGTCCTCGCAGCTACTGCAGAAGAGGAGGTGTGGAGATTTGAAGCTGTGGGAAGTATGAGCTCTAAAGGGGTCCCCTTTGTGTGTGCTCTGCTTGCAGGGCCAGCCTTTCGTGGACATGCACAGGCTTGTTGGAATCGAGTGCGGACAGGCCAGGCGGCCACCCATTCGGTCGTTTAGTGTTGGCTGGAAGAGCATGCAAACTGGCATTGATTCACTTCGAACCTGCCTACCTGCAGCACTATCACTGCGGCTGCATCTGGTTTGGCTGATGATGCTGCTGCTGCTGCTGCTGCTCGTGCTGCTGCTGGTGCTGCGTGGCTACGCAACTGACCATGAAACAATGCAGTCCGGCTTTCTCTGCTCTCGGGATGTTTCAGGTACGCCTTGCCGCATCGCAGGCGGATTGGGCCCAGGAGTTGGCCGGTCTTCAGGACCGGTTTGGGGCTCGGAGTATTTAGGGTGAAGGGCTTGGGATGGGGTTTCGAGATTTTGATTTAGGGTTTGGGGTTTGGGGATCAGTTCTAGCGGTAGCGCTTGGGATGACAACAGATGTCGAAGCTTGCGGAAAGTCCAGCTGGGAATGACTAAGTACACTGCTCTTGCCTCATCTCAGTGTCACAATGATTATTCGGATTCTCGTGCAGGTTATGATTACTTTTATCATGGGTGCTATGAGCTAGGGCTTGAACTGGGACTAGACGATGAGCTGACCAGGAGGGCTCCTGCGAGTCGTTGGGCTTCACGGAGTCCCGTGGCAACAGAGAGGCCCCCCATCAACCCCAAACCCTAAACCCTAAACCGTATTGACTGGCGCATTCTCGTTACGATCGAGCCTGGGAAGCAGATGCTTGCGACGCCGGTTCTGCATGTGTAAATATGCGTAGATGCACGCCTAAATGCATGAATGGTTGTGTACCTGTATTGATAGTCGGCTGCCGTTGGAGATCAGCATAGAGGTAGACCGACATGTGCTTTGCATGTATTTTTGCTAGACAGGTTATATTGCTACATGCTTGAGTCTATCTTAGATTGCCTAGCAGTACTACAGTGGCTGTTTGGTATTGCAGCGACGCTGTTTGCCCGAACATCGCTACGGGTTTAGGGTCGAGAGACAGGTCACCCTTCCCCCGCTCATTGGCAGCTTGGGCCTGGGCATCTTCCGAAAGCGGGGCCCTCGGGAAGCGGGTAGGTGGTGCTGGGATTTTGCGCCCGGCCCCCGCAGCAAGTCGTAGATTGATTTGGTTCAGGCATTCCGGGGCAAGTTGAGGGTGTGCTTGAAGTGGGGCATCGGAGGTTGATGCCACTAGAATGGTCTCGCAGGAGGGCCTCGTAGCAAAGGCAGCAGCCCCATGAAACCTGGCACGGCTACACCCCTTCACAGCGAGTGAAGGGCTCCCGCATCCCTTCTCGAGGCCTGACATGCTAGGAATCGCACAACAAGTCGGCGGAGCACTCAGGGCTGTGGCTCGAGCCTTCCTGCACAGGCTTTGTCTGCAAGCCGCAAGTGGACAGGGAACAGAGTGGCAAAGTGGTGTGAGGCGATCAACTCAACGGAAAGCCAGCCTCGCGAGGTGGGGCTCACTCACGGGTCTGATGCCCGCGGAGTTAAATCGTGACATACCACACCTTGCCAGTGAAAGGCGCGGCCTGCTGCACGACTTGTGCAGCAGGCGAAGAGAAGTACGTCGCAGAGACAGCCGAAACCTGCCAGGAGGCCAGATTTGCTAGATCTTCATGATTACTCCCTCCATCTGGCTCTCTGGCTCTTTCTCTCTTGGTCTCTCTCTCTCTCTCTCTCTGACTCTCTTTGACTCTCTTTGTCTTTCTCTCTCGTTCAGCATACACATCCTAATACACCGGATGTCTTATCTCCTGCTTCATACCAACTTGTGTAATTAATGTTGTACACCTTTTCTGCTTCTGTAGCATCTAATCTCTTTGTCAGATAAGACTTCGCACGTTGCTGTCGCAAGGGGCTGCGGACTAGCCGTGCAGCCGGAAGATTGCGAAGCTTGCCTGGGACAAACTCCGGCAGGCTTGCCTGAACATTGCAAAGCGGATGATCCTCTCCGTGTCGGGCCTGTTGGACCCTGGCCTTGACCAGAGACAACACATAAGTGGTTGTCAAAATTACGGTCCCTTTTTGGGTCCCTTTCTTATGCGGCACCTTTTATTGAGGGTACCCAAGAAGGGACCTTAATTTTGACAACCACCCACATGTAGACTAGCAGTAGACGAACTAGCCAAACCACACTGCAAGGGACGGCGACTGGTTGCCAAGCTTCGAGTCGCAACATCGCGAAATCTTGCTGAGGATCCCGCTTTCGTTCAAGCACATGGCCGTGGATGCCTTGAGCGAAATTTTCCAGTTCTCAACGCGACGCTCATGAAGGCGGCTTGGCTCAGTCTATGTTGCTTGGCGGTGTCCGGCAACCGATCTCACTATCACCTGGTTGCTACAGAGGGCATGGACCCAGCGTCCTTCAGCTGGGACGTCTACAGCCACCCGCCGGCCAACACGGTGATCTTGCGCAAGGCCGTATCCCTAATGCTTCGGTCCCTGGCTGGGACGGCCCCAGCCCAGTCAATGAACTTTGCCCGGAGATGCTTTGCAGGTCGCGTTTGGAGTTTGCGGTGCCTTGCATGCAAAAGGGGGCCCTTGTCAATGTCCAGTGCAATGACTGACGGAACAGGGAAGCCTAAGGCGGCCACATCTACCTGAGCTGGAAAGTATGGTGCCTCTCTGAGGTGAGCTCCCCTTATCCAAGACCGAGGCCCAGGCTTCCTTGAAGCTTCCGTGGCTTGGCTCAGACTCGCAGAACTGACCTTGAGCTTTTCGTGCCTCGACCCGCCTTGTTGGTGCTTAATGCGAAGTCAGTCTCCGTCTTTTCCCTAGCATCGCTTTTGGCAGAGTTTGCGAAATCGCGCGCTCACGTGCTTGCGCCGGATTTCAAGACGGCTCTTTTCTCTGGCCAAGGGCTTTTGCATACCCAAGCTGCTTGTACCTTTTCTTGCATTGGATGATGTCAGATGTCAGGATTGGCCTGGAGGATGGCAGCTGCGTTGCGGCCGGATACACCGAGGATGCCGGACAGCAGCAGCCGCCTGAGCCGTCACCCAACCTTATCTCATGGAAGAGCGACCGGTGCTGGCAGGGAACTCCCGGGCATGCCTGGCAAGACGCTTGCTCTCTTCCGCAAGGCTTGAATTGAATCGGTATGCCCGATGCGTGGAGAAACTGTTTTTGAAAGCTCCGCAGCCCCGACACGGTGGCTGTTGACACAGGCAGGAGACCTGGACGTCCTCGACGGCCTGCACATGGTTTTTGCTGCCCTGACGCAGGCGCGGGGCGATCTCAAGTCGGGTGATCAAAATTGAGTAATGCGGGGCTTTGTGGAACGCGGCCAGGACACTGTGACCATGTTCAAGGTCGTTGGCGACCTCTGCTCTGAGGCATCCATCGACAGGACTCCGGCAGGAAAGCGCTTGGCCTTTGCCCAGTTCCGTACTTCCAAATCTGCAGGAAGTTTCAGTCACCACTGCAGAGCTTCGGGCAGTTTGAGCTGGGCTCATGCAAGGACACGGGTGTCCCTGGAAACACAAGAAGCCTTCAGGAAGTTTCCGAGGCACAAGACGCATTGCAGGTCCTTTGTCCGCGACGCGATCAGAAGTAAGAAGTAGGTCATGATAGGGCGCAGCCTGCGCAGTGGGAGCCGCAAGCACCTGGCTCGTTGTAGACTGAACAGCATTGCAGGAGCACGGATACAGCATGGCTGCGGGTTCCCAGTCCTTCAGCATTCCGCTGGTCACAGAGATGCAGGTTGCCCTCTACCGGAAGGCAGGCTTGACACGGTCCAGGAAAGCTCTGTCGACAGCGCTCTTGTTTTGTCAAGCTTGTCAGAATGTTGTCTTGCTGTCGCTTGCGGAAGCGACGAAGTAGCATGAATCAAGGTATATTTGCTTAAATCTGCTGCAGTCGGGTCTGCATCGAAGCAACGGACTCGAAGAACACGTCTCTCTTGCGGATTCTCGCATGCACTGTGAAGCCCGGCAGGCAATCCCAGGCGTCGGGATCCTCGTCTGATGCAGTTGCACCAGCACCGCGGGCTCGAAGCTAAAAACCCCCAAACTCGGTGCCAGAGGATAGCGCTGGCAAGGGCATCACTGTAGAAGCTACTGGCAAGACCAGGCGAATCAGTTTCACAGATCTGTTTTTGGCAGCCCAGAAGCGTCTGCCCTGCTGAACTTAAGTGGAAACAGCGGGAACGGTGATGCTACCATGTGCCGGTTGATGTTGGTTGGGTTTTGTTTCACCTGCGGATGTAGTGGATGTGGATGGATGTCGGCTTTGGGCTTTGGGATTGCTGTGGTGCAAGTCGCGCGCTCGGTCGCTGCCAGACCTGGGCATGCTTCAGTCCTTTTCGGCAAGTTCTGCATCAGCCATAACGTCTTGGCGTTGGCCTCGGAAGAGCATGGAGTAGTAAAGGCTTGTCTTCAATTCGGAAAGGGGAGGAC